GAAAGAGAGCAGCTTTTCCCCAAAAAAATGGAAAATAAAAACAGAAAGGGAGAAGAAAAAGAAAATGCAGAGGAAGGGAGATAAAAAGATCAATGAAAAGCAGAAAACAAAACTGAAAGCAAAAGGACTGCAGAGGATGAAGAACAAAGGAATTGAAATGCATTAGTAGACGATGGAAAGATACAGAACAGAGATTTAAAAAAAAAAAAGAGAACAGAAAATGCTGAATGGGGGAACGCAGGGCAGACTATGATAAACACAGCACACCAAAGGAATGAAAAAGGGAAAGAACATGAAAAGCTAGCAGACAAAAACTTCAAAGTAAGTACAGACACAGAAAACAGAACACAGGCACATGCGTAAGAAAATCACAAAGTATGAAAAATAACTGAGCCCAAGAGGGCTTTTGTTCCACAGAAGATGGAATGAACTTGTCACCTCACAGCAGACTGCTGACCCAACCTGTAAAAGTCTGCTGGGTTCTTTTGTAAAAAGTTGCTGGGTCGCTAATCCTATTTGACTCTCCTAAAAAGGGACTAAATAGGGACTGGGACTCAATGAGGCCGAACAGACACAGGAAGAACATAAGTATCCTCTCCCTGATGACACGGCCATCATTATAGCAAAGGCTCTGTGACTGCTACTTCTGTACAGCCCTAAATATGGTGTTCAGAGGGGGTCCAGCACCTTCCAGATGTCAGTGTCAGCTACTCATACACAGTCAGGAAGGGCTAATGGTCCAACACTTATCACAGTTATCTCATCCTCCACCTTCAAATAAAATGTATCAAAGTGGAACTTCTGCCCAAACACCTTTTCATTAATTATATGTTTTTATGAATAAAATAGCCGTCCTTGATCTCCAGTCCTCTGACTGTGCCTAGACTGAGATGATGTCATCAATTTGCTGCAGGCAGGAGGAAGCATTTCCTCAGTCTCCTCTCCCCCAGTGATCAGACTGCAACAATTTAACTTTGTAACAAGTCACAAGGTGAGAGGTTGTAGCAGGGGCTGATCCATGTAAGACATTTGTGAACTGCACAGAATTAACATGATTATATCATCTGTGAGCTGGTGTCTCAGTCCAGGGTGTAGACAATGACTCGATGATGCCTGAACAAAGATGGTGCCATCCTTCTGGAGATAAAAGCAGATGAAGGCATTGTCCTGGGGAATACTGTGATCTCTGTGAGATGTAATACATATCTGGAAGAGTAGCATGCATGCAATATCAGATGCTAGGTCCACTTTAAGAGTCCTGCGTATGTTTCCTGTCTTTACAGCTTAGATAACGAAAAGGAACTTTATAAGAATACCAGCAGTAAAGAAATGTAACTAAGTAACAAGAAATAAATAAGAAGTGCAAACAATGGCACAGCACACATCTGTGCACAAGACAGGAAGTGCCAGGGTGGTGTCAGGAGCTCTTTATAGCAATAAAACCCTCAAAAACCACAGAATAGTACCAAGAGTCCCTGTCCCGTGACAACCCTGCTCAGTGTAGAACACATCAGGAGGGATGAAACGTGGAGAGCTGAAGATGAAGGCCGGCGAACCCACCCAATCCCCCCCGGGACTGATCTGTGTCTGCTTCTGTTTCAGGATGTGAAACTGCAAATAGAAGAGAATGACGCGGAGACTCTGCGCTCCTAAAGGTGGTCATATTGATCCGTCATTTCCCAAATGTCATCATCGAACGATGCAACACGCATAGGATATCACATGAACATACGATCAGAAATGATCCACCGATAACGATCATTTGATTGATCTGTACGATGATCGGTTGTCCCATATAAACGCACAGATATTCGTGTGATCGGAGACAATCAATAAAAGTCTGTCACATGACAGCAAATCCATCGACAGCTTACAAACTCCATCACATGGAGGTCTGCGGTTTATGATTCTTATTCAATTCGATCATCTTCATCAGCCCCACTGATTGATCATACTGATAGGTGTGTGGCCATAGCTCAGCGTGGGTTCAGATCCTTCACCTTGTTCACTTTTCAGCACTCCGCTCCATCACTCTCCGTCACACGTGGCAGAGCTACACAGGAAGCTCCTCAATGCTTCTCCTGCAATTTCCTGGGAATGTGGAATTCAAGTGAAAACACATTTGTGCTGTGCGTGGATCGGAGAAGCAGTACTACCTTCCTCAGCTTTTTATTTCTGTCTTTGTCCCCCTTTGCAAGATTTACCCATCGCTTCCTGCTAATGTTGTCACAGAGACAGGAAATGTGGGCAAATCTCTCTAAAAGAGACATCACTATTTTTTTTATATAGTAAGTTGGGTTAATTGCTGTTTCCCTGATGGAGATTTACTCTCACGTCCTGTCCCTAATGAGGATTTACCCTCACTTCCTGCTACAATGGAAATTTACTTTCAGTTCCTCCCCCTAATGTAGATTTACCCTCACTTTCTGCCCCTAATGTAGATTTACCCTCACTTCCAGCCCCTAATGGAGATTTCCTCTCACTTCCTGCCCCTAATGGAGATTAACTCTCACTTCCTGCCCCTAATGGAGATTTACCCTCACTTCCTGCCCCTAATGTAGATTTACCCTCACTTCCGGCCCCTAATGGAGATTTTCTCTCACTTCCTGCCCCTAATGGAGATTTACCCTCACTTCCTGCCCCTAATGTAGATTTACCCTCACTTCCGGCCCCTAATGGAGATTTTCTCTCACTTCCTGCCCCTAATGGAGATTAACTCTCACTTACTGCCCCTAATGTAGGTTAACTCTCACTTCCTCCCCTAATGGAGATGTACTCTCACTTCCTGCCCCTAATTGAGAATTACCCTCACTTCCTCCCCTAATGGAGATTTACTCTCACTTCCTGCCCCTGATGGAGAATTACCCTCACTTCCGGCCCCTAATGGAGATTTTCTCTCACTTCCTGCCCCTGATGGAGAATTACCCTCACTTCCTGCCCCTGATGGAGATTTACCTTCACTTTCTGCACCAGAGAGAACATAGTCACCAGAACAGCAAATAGGGGACATCTTCCCATTGGGGACACTCAGAGTGACCTGATTTAACACTTACCTGCTCTATTCAACGAAGACAAAAAAAACTTTTTGACTGGAATTAGGACTTGTTCACATGCTGAGTTTTAGCCTGCAGGTTAGCGTGCTGAGTGAAGTTCGGCACGGGTGGTGTGATGTTTTGCTTCAGCAATCTTCTCTTCCACCTCTGGGTGACTTTAGTATCTCCAAATTGATCCTCGAAGAAGAAGAGGAAGCGAACGCAGGAAGAGCAGTTCATATCAGAAAACATGGAAATGCCCAGAAGGGACGGCGAGTCTGTACAGCCGGGTCGGGAATATGAGCCCAGGACCCCCTCACTATACTGTCAGCTTCATTCATCATTATAATACATGAGAAATGCAAATATTTTAGCATTTCTTTTATTCCATCACTTTTCCCTATTTAAAGAAAAAACAAACTGAAACTATTTGTTTTTCTGGGGCCACCAAAATTAAATATATCCTAAAAAACGATGCATCAAATATAAAAATATATATGAAATATAGTATAAAAAATATGTATGAAATATATTATAAAAATGTATAAAATATAATTAAGTATGAAATACATTACAAACATGTAAAATATAAAAATGTATGAAATATATAATAAAAAAAGAGTATGAAATATATTCTAGAAAAGTATGAAAACGGTTTTGGTCCTTGTCACCAGCGGTAACAGAAATCCGGAATGACCCGTTATGATGACACAGAGCCGTCTCTGGCATGAGCCCAGACTGTTACTTCAGTTATAAACGAGCCGAAATCAAACCATCTCCTCCTTTATCACAAAATCCGATGGGGACCGCGCCAAGAACACTCAACCTTTCACAATCCGCGGACCAACTGATGTCACACATTAAAAGTCCTGTCTATTACAGGGCCAGCTCTGGGGATAAAGCCCTGCTGTGTTTGTCCCAAGAGCTTGCACTTAGTGGTTTGAACCCAGTACAGATATTATGTTTGTGTAGTTATCATTTTGCAATGTCTAGAACAGCCCGAGCATCTCTACTGAAGACTGGACCAAAGGGCACTGAGATAAAGTAATTTACCCCCCACCACAGCTCGCTCTCCAGAACCCTAGAAATACCCAGTACTTCCATATATGGAGAACATGTGACCTGTCACTATGTAACCAATCACCTGGTCCAAATACTGTCACATGGGTGGGGCAGGGCCAACATGGTGCTTACACAAGGCTATCTGCCATGCGCTGTGGAGGACAAACGGAAGAGCGGGGGAACGTGGGAAGGGCAAGTATTAGTAGCAGAGGAGGTGGGCTATAAAGAGAACCTGGAATGGACAAAGTGACCGGTTCACTTTAAAGAAGCAAGTCAAGTCCAGTGCACTGGCGCAGCCCCCTCCCCCGTGGTAAAAAAAGGGGAACTTCACCCACAATTTAAAAATTTGCAAGCAGGATTTTTTTTATTGCAAAAGAGGAATACTGTATTTAGTCCGGAATGACCCGTGTTCGGACAAGGACGTGGCAACCAGATAAATCCTGATGGCGTTTCTGGAAAAGTCATCACCAACAAGTCTGAGTATAGGAGACTAGACCAAGCTGGCCATATATTATACAATCTGATTGTACAATCTCCTTTACATATGAGGACTCGC